GATTCTCTTGTGTGTAAGGGTGCGCTGGCATTTTCCTTAGGCTTTTTTCATTGAGCAGTGGGCAGAACAGAAGAAGGAAACATTTGATCACTTTGTAAAAATGCTGCACATTGCCGGCAGGGTTTAATTACTGAATGTAGCCACTTCCAGTGCATTGAAATGCCTCTGCCTTGCCTCAAAGCATTGTACCTCTATTCAAATGGCAAAGAATAGAGTTCCTGTAAGATTGTGGAGTGCAGCTCATTTGGGGAATAAACAGTTGCTTTGACCTTGTACCGGCAAATAGACCCCGTCAGGCCTGGAATTGCAAGGCCAGGAAATCATCTGTTTAGTCAGTGCTGGTTCTGGTGATTAGTTTGTGTTTATGGCTGGGAATTGATAATATAGCCCTGTGTATATGAAGCTAAGGTCTGAATACTAAAAGGGTCCTATTTACCAACAGCTTCATTTTTTATTTTAAAGTTAGTTCAAACTGAAATCAGCCTTTTAACCCTTAATTAGGAGCATGTTTTCTCTTAAAAGTCAACCACATTAGTCAACTGGAGACAAAATTCACTTTGCAATTGAAAGGCTGTCAACTTTCTTTCAACAGTAGCCACCATGGTTTACTGAGTGCATTTGTTTTCCTTTCACTATGGTAACTTTACCCATTCTCTGTATCAGCAGAGCTCAAACCCATCAATTACAGCTTCGAGGAAAAGTGTGCTATGTGCTGTGGGACTGAAGCCAAGATTCTATCCTGAAGCTTTTCTATAATTATTATTCATTGTATAGGTAGTGCTCAGAATACTCCCTATTTCATACTTTTTTCTTCTTTATTTTCCAAAGCTGGCCGTTTATTATTTTACCCTACTTCTGACCCATAGTATTTAGTTCCTGTTTTATTGTTACCACTTCATAAATACAGAATCAGCAGATTCCCAGAATATTTTTAATTCATGTGCTACCAATTGGTATTATTTTGGCTTCCTCCTATTATTCATATTTTTAGTGTTTCTCAATAGAAAGTTAACATTTGGCAAGGGTGTCATAGTTTTGTTCCACTGTGGCCCATCCTGGGTTTTTTCAATAGGTTTGGGGTTTGCTCAATAAATGAGCAAGCATACCTTAACTAACTCAGCAGTTAAAATACAAGAACTAAAAGCTAGGTTAGCAAGGATAAGGCACATAAAACCTTACTGCAGACCAACAAATGGGACATGTATATTCTTTTAAATTGTATTTTCAATACTGTGCTTCTTTTCCTTGCAAAAAAGAAAAAAATGACATCATCTTACATTTTTATTAATATCAATTTTATTCACTCCCACAGATTCCCAAACTTCTAACATTCTAATATACAATGTACATTAAAGGAATAGCATAAGTAAATATAATTTTATTATGCTATTGTTTAAGATGAATGATAGGGAATTAGTTGTTTGGCTCTTGATTTACCTTTTAATTCATTCAATTATGAAATAAACATGCCCTTTGAATACATACTTCTCTGATACTGGAAGATATTGAAAAGGTCAAAATTTGTCAGTTTTTGTGGAAGTATATTTCTTTTAGGTCAGAAGAGAACCTCATTTATTTGTCTCATTCTTTCTACATAATTCTATCATTTCAATGGCTAATCATAACCCTAAAAGCAATTATGAAGTGAAGATAATTTGTTGTATTTTTTTCTATTTAGAAAGTTCTAGGAATCTTATAAATTTTTGTACACAAGTATTAACTTTTTTAAGTGTCTAGCCTGAAGAGTTTTAGAAACAACTTAGTCAATATCTGCCATTTAATAAATGAGGAAATTAAAGTCTAGAGAGGACAATTGATTGCAAGTTAATCATCCACTTAAAAATGAACCCCATAAGTTCTGGCTGGTTTGGCTCAGTGGGTAGAGTGTTGGCCTGTGGACTGAAGGGTCCCAGGTTCGATTCTGGTCAAGGGCACATGCCTGGGTTGTGGGCTCGATCCCCAGTACACCAAAAGATGTAGAACATACAAACTGGCTGATTTGATGTCTTAGGACAGCGGTTCTCAACCGGTGGGTCACGACCGCTTTGGCGGTCGAACGACCCTTTCACAGGGGTCGCCAAAGACCATCCTGCATATCAGATATTTACATCACGATTCATAACAGTAGCAACATTACAGTTATGAAGTAGCAACGAAAATAATTTTATGGTTGGGTCACAACATGAGGAACTGTATTTAAAGGGCCAGAAGGTTGAAAACCACTGTTTAGGATCTTTCTAGCTCCTTTAAGCTTTCATTGTATTTAAACAGTACATCTCAACTGAATCATCTTTGTCTTTTATGTCATTTAGATATGCTTTCTGCTGTGAGTAAAAGAAAACTTGACCACAGTGACTTCAGCAAACAAGCTGTTATTTTTTGACATTAAGATAAATCTTGAGATAGGTGCCTGCTGGGTCAACAAGTGCAGGGTACACATCCTGTAATTTTTTTGGCCTTTAACTTATTGTCACATGTAAGCCATTAAGTCCATAATCAATTCTGGAATGATGCAGATGAGGTGGCTCCAGTTGCTTTTGGACCACTTTGTGAAGGGGGAAAAGCTATCCCAAACACCTTCATCCGATTTCTGTTGTGTCTCTTTGGCCATACATTGGCCATCCATCACTATCTGCAGTGAAATCTGTGTTCGGGAGCACTAGGTTGGATGCAATTCTGAACAAATCAGGATCCTATTAGCAAGCAAAAGGCAGAGTTTGGACACTGAGTATGCAACCAACTGTACCCACCACATTCCTCTGCTTAACAGTTTGTCTTTTCATGTCGATCTATTTGTGTATTTAATTATGCTTCGCACAGGCCAGTTCCTTCCATCTTTTCATGATCTTTCTCAGATGAGATTCCTCTGTGTAATCTCTTCCAACAGCTCCATTGGAATGGGGTGCTTGCTCCAGGTGGCCTGTGTTAAATGTCTGGTGCTCATTTTCGATTTCAGGGGCCCTTTGGGGATGGACAGAATTAGGGAATTTGTATCTTTAAGGGTACCCAAAAGCCTGAAAAAGAGGAAATGATTTATCGAACTGCATGTGCATGTGCCTACCTATATTGTACTAGTGTCATCTCTAAAATTATTTAGTCATAATTAGGTAAAGTTTAGTTACTAGTTTGAATTAACATTCTTAACTTCTAAGTTGATTTTTTTGATTAACTAGTTATTAACTGATAGAATTCAAGTTACTATCAGAAATCTTTGGCTGTAGTGGTGTGGCTAAGAAGTATTATATGACTGTCTTTTCTTTAAGTATCACATACCATTTATAATAGTAACAAAAAGTGATTGACTGTTTAATGAATACCTTTATGCTAAATGTTGTAAAAACCATAACAGCCCCAAATAAAAGCACATAGATAGACTTACCAGCAAACAAAACAACAAAGCAACTTAATCTTGAAAGACTCAGTAATGCCCCCTTGCAAATTTAAAGTCACTTTAATGATGAGCTAAATTGAAACCAGAAGTTAAGTGCATAGTTTGTTTATACTTTGTATCATTTTCTGTGAGGCAGTATAACAGGAGATATAAGTAGAATTTTCTAACCAATGCCTACAGACAATGTTCAAAACTTTTTAATCCCAACCCATGTTTGGTTAGGGCAATGAAATTTATTTTACTGGTTCTCAATGTGGCCCCTAAAGTTGTTCAATTTAATGTAACCTCGTCTTAGAGCAACCCTTCTTAATAGAATCTGGAAAACAGCAAGACTGAATTAATGATTGCTATCATTTTAAGTTATTCTAATTGTTTGTTTTGGCAGTGTATTTCCAGAGAACCTTACTAGGAGGAAGATATACTATTATGGATACCATGGGTTACCTTTCAAAATGCATTTATTATAAAAGTTAATATTTGTCCACACAGATATTAGTTAAATGCACATATGTTGTTATTTGCAATATGAAGTTTATATGAGATAATTCTTCAATTCAATGATAAAGATAATCTATAAGGACTATTCTATATATAAGTACTTTAAGTAATACAATTTCAGTGTAGCACTGAAATTGAGTTTATAGATTCAAGAAATTACTGACGTCCAAAGATGTTTTGAAGGAAACTTTAAACATTTGGACCCCAAATTCCTTCATCAAAGGAATGTCAAAGAACTTCTTGTTGGGATTTTCACCATGAATTTAGTTCTCAGTGGTTGAGCTTTGACCTATGAACCAGGAGGTCATGGGTTCATTCCCATTCAGGGCACATGCCTCCGTTGCAGGCTCGATTCCCAGTAGGGGGCGTGCAGGAGGCAGCCAATCAATGATTCTCTCTCATCATTGTTTCTATCTCTCCCTCCTTCTCCTTTCCTCTCTGAAATTAATAAAAAATATATTTTAAAAATAAACAAAATAAAAAGCTTTCATCTAATAACAATTCACAAGTATGTCAGTTTAAATAAAAAGTGTACTGCCCTATGTTTGAGATATGCGAAAGGAAATATATTTATTTAAATAGAAATTGTACCTCCTTATGTATTTGAGATATAGACAGGAGCTATATTTCACTCTTTATTTTAGGCCATTACCATATAATTAATAAGTAATAATATAAGAATGAAGTCTGTGTTTCACATGCTCACAATGACAGTGCTAACTGTAGTGCAGATCGTGTACACATTGCATCATGTTTTAAAAGGGAATGGCTACATGATGACATGGCTTTGCTTTATTTTCTCCACAAATATTCCAATGCCAAGTAAAGCTGTGAAAACACGAGCTGGAAATTTCATCACACCCTGGTGCCAAAATAATCTAAATCTTGTGGGTGTGTGTTTTTTTCTTTAACATTTGGTGCAAATTCAAATGTATATTGTGGAGAAACTACACTGGGCCATGTTATTTGCTTCTGTAAAGGCTGGAAGGAAAAATGAATTTTGATTCAGAGTGAATGCATGCCCTAACATCCGAAACTCTGTTTAACATATTTTTTAAAAATGTGTTTTCAAAATAATTACAGAATATTAAAAGAGTTATTTTGTTTGTAGCTTGTCAACCCGGTTTCTACAAGGCTGCGGATGGTAACACGAAGTGCGCTAAGTGCCCACCTCACAGTTCTACTCAGGAAGATGGTTCAATGAACTGCAGGTGTGAGAATAATTACTTCCGAGCAGACAAAGACCCTCCATCCATGGCTTGTACCCGTGAGTAGTTTTGCTGCAACCCATGCATCCATGTTTGTTTTATTTTGTTTTTTATTGTGTTATTGTTGGTTTTTTGCTTCTTGTATTTTGTTTTTTGTTTGTTTGTTTGTTTGTTTTTAAGCATTTGGCCCATTTACTTGTGCTACTCATGTGCAAATTGAGAGCTTTCTCTGCTTCACTCTCCATGCTTGGCTCACCACAAATGCAACATTTATCACATGAATTGATTTATAAAGCACCTACTGCAACAGGACCCAAAAACTCTTTGTATCTTGTTTTAGATTTTGCTTTTTGTTAGACAGGATAGGGGAGATTGTAAGCATGGGATTTGTATTTTTGCATTTCGATTCCCTCTTGCTACATGTTGGTCATAGGTCATCAGGAAGAGGACTAAGATTTATAAAAGTAACACTACAGATTTCATAACTATTCACAAGGGCATTGAGTTTAATGGTAAATACCTTTGTTGGACTTTCTGAATGCATATTCAACCTTGAGTCACATCTCCCTCACCCATAGCTTGGAGAGAACAGTGCTCTTGAATCCATGTCTATAATCTCATGGATTCTCTAAGGACAAATTAAAATATGTAATAAAGACAAGATGGTTATTTACCTCTTTCAGTCCCATTGTAAACTATCTCTTTCCCTTGTAGTAGAATCCAGAAGTGAGGCTCATTAATCTTTGTTGAACTACTTTGCAGGACCTCCATCTGCACCAAGAAATGTTATCTCTAATATAAACGAGACCTCGGTTATCCTGGACTGGAGTTGGCCCCTGGACACAGGAGGCCGGAAAGATGTTACCTTCAACATCATATGTAAAAAATGTGGGTGGAATGTAAAACAGTGTGAGCCATGCAGCCCAAATGTTCGCTTCCTCCCTCGACAGTTTGGACTCACCAACACCACGGTGACAGTGACAGATCTCCTGGCACACACTAACTACACCTTTGAAATCGATGCCATTAACGGGGTGTCAGAGCTGAGCTCACCACCACGACAGTTTGCTGCAGTCAGCATCACAACTAATCAGGCCGGTGAGTACTTTTGCATCTCAGAGTCAATTAAGAGTCTTAACAGAGAGGGGAAGAAGGGGTAGGAAGACAAAGATTTAAAAGGACTGCAGGATTTTCTCTTCTATCACTTTTGGACAGTTATGGTACATTGAATAATTCAATCTTCAAATAAGAATGAATCATATTTGTTAGATTATTTTAAATTAATTTAATCCATGGCTATCCAATTTGGAATCTTTAAATAGTTGGGGCTCTGGAGATGGTACGTGTGGTTCTGACTGAAGCATTTTCATATTTCAAAGAATTTAGACATTGAAATTTAGCTGTGAAAAGATTATGTAGGGTATTTTTAAATTTGAAGTGTCTTTACCTTAGTTACAATTATATCAGATTTTTTTGTTGTTATTCAGTTATTATATGGTCATCAGAAGATCTGAGTATTTTGCTTAGAAAGTTATAATTCTCTGATTAATTAAAAATAAGGAAAAACTATTTTATTGAATAGCTACAATTTGCATTTAAAAAATTAAAATATGAAATTTGTGGAGAAGCATAGTAAAAAGAGGTCTTGGTGAAGAACATTTAGAAGCACTGATCTAAAAACAAATTTCTTAGGGTAAATTTCACCAACTATTTTCCACTGACAATATTTTCCTAGTTAAAAAAATATGCTACATCAAGCAAAGGCATTGTGGAATTGGAAAAAGGAAATAAGCAAACAAATTTCTCATCTTTCTTTGTCTTACATCCACCACATTTCTATTTACCGCTACCACATCTTACTCTTTCAATCACTCATTAAATCTTCCATGTGTTTTCTAGTTCTCTGATAATTTGTGTGACATTTTTACAGTTTTTTTTTAACAAATTGATGTTCAAAATTATTTATGGGATTTTAGTTGTGAGTCTCTCAAACATATAGACGTGTTATACTTTGCAGAGTATACAGAGACATACCAACGATACTCCTTTGGGATAAGACTCACTTCTTCAATGTAGAAAACTGATAAATGCATATTAAAGTTTCCTTTGGAACCAACAAAACTTGTGCAAAGTTAAGCTGAGAGATATTTATATGCATAATTGTTGCTATTAGATATCATAATTAAGAATACATTTCAAAAAGTTCAATGCAAAGATATTATTGCATCATTTATGCACAAATAAACATTGGAGCCAAAAAGGGGGGAAAGGAAGAGACAGCATGCACCCTGAACTGCAGAATTACATATTCTTGAATCACCTCCCAGGTGGGTTAACCCCTGAGCTGGAAGTCAGGATGGAATGCAAACTCTGCTTCTTTTCTGCATGCGGCTGAAATTCTGGAAGTCCCTGTGCTCTGTAGTGGGACTTGCCCTTGCTCTGGGGATATGTATACTGGATGCCTGAGGAAAAGAGAAAGGAGAGATGACTAAGTTCTCCTTCAGCTGGAAGAGGTTGTAGAGCAAACCAATAACTAGTCAGAAAAACTCATCACTTTCATTTCTCTCACTTGGCTGGTTCAGTAAGGTTAAACTACTAAGGGCAAGCAATGAATCGGTGTCATCCAAGGGCCAATATATACAGCATGTCAGCACTTGTTAAAATGTTGCACTACTTCCATATTGGTTAGAAGTAGTTCTAACTACTTCTGCAGATTAGTATAGAAATGCATCTCTTCTGGTTAATTCCTCCAGTACCCCGAGTAGGCTCCTAAACCCAGTATTTCAGGTCTACCCCATAAACACCCCCCCCCATAATCCACCAACTAAAAGTGTAAATCCTGGCATAAGAGGGGTTTCTAGGTCCCTGTCCTAGAACCCCTCCCTCTTGAGAGGTCTATGTCCCTGAAACTCTAGTTGATAAATATTTTGAATATAACCTCTGATACATTCTCAAATGTGTCTCTTTCTGATTCCAAACCCCTCTTGCATTCCTACTTTGCTTCTATTCTCTCTGCTGATGAAAATCATACACTTTTAGTGGTTTCATGATGATAAATAAACTGTATTTGTTGATAAGACATGACTTTTAAAGGAAGTTCACAGATTTATTATTTTAATCTTGCTTCCTGGAATCTGTAATTTTTCCCACTTGAAGCTAGATCCCAGATCAACAAACATAAGTTTTTGCTTTGCTGATTTTATTTAAATATCAGTTAATGATATTTAAACTTTGAAACTAATAATATTTAAAAATTTGCTACTTAACTTTATTTAACTATCTCCTATGGGAGGTGGGGGAAGAGTAATGCTATTGGTATGTAGCACATGATTATAGCTTCTCATATGCCAGGAACACAGGAATTTTAAGAAATTATAATTATGTGGCAAATGGCTTTCCCAAATCCTATATTTCATGCTGATTTAGTACCTTGTTTAAAATGGGAGCATCAATTTGTATTATAATTATCTCCTAAGTCAAACAGAAACATAGACAAAATAAGCAAGAACTCCTTATATTCTACCTCATCATCAGCCTCTGGCTTTCGGACAACGCATTTATCTAGAACTGAATACTCCCAGGTATGTACAATGAATGAATATAGGTACAGTGGTGATCAAGTGCAAGCCAAGATATTCAAAATAAATGGGGTTGATGCTTTGGCCTTCCCAGGTACAAATCACAGTTCAAGACAGAGCTTTAACAGGGATGATATCAGTTACTCTTCCTAAACCAACTCCCTTTTTTTGTTTTAAATCACAAATTTATCTACAATATGCATCACTAGGCATTTGACATTTATTTCTGGGTGTATGTATTTTTTTGTGTGTGTGCCTGGGGAGGTAGAGGTCTTTGTTCCATCTTCAAACCCCCACAGTTAAGATCCATAAACAAGATTAGAAGCAATGCATTTCTCCAGAGAGTGTTTCTTTGTTTTGCTTTATTTTTGTTCTTGTGAAGGTTAATGGACTTGTAGCCTTGAAAAATGAGCTCCATATTACCAGATAGATATGCCTGTGACAGATATGATGCCATAAAGTTTAAATTCCTCCTACTCTATCTTTGACATGGCCATGAAGGGGAAATGTGAGTGTGTCCCTTTTAATCTAGTTTGTGAGAGGAGCTTGTTACTATTTCTCTTGATTATATCGTAAAAGCCATGTGATGAGCACATGACAAGGCACCTCTACATTGTAGTGGATTATGCTGTAAAGTCTGATGTTAGTTCTCAGCTCTCTGAACTTTCACAAAGTATGTCAGTGAGATTAGAAGCATGGCCTCCACATAAAAAATGGGATTTGTGAATCCATCAGTCAAACACGTGCAGAAAGAATCGCTGATTGCAAAACAAAAATCTATAAAGTTATAACTTCGTATGAATTTCTACTTCGTGTTTTCTTCCTTGAATGAGTATATTTAACTTTCAGTTCTGGAACCAGTCATTCTAGAACATTAGTGGAACATACAGCTCTGTTTATTCTCATCATAAAATCTGCTTTTCCCCCTATTACCTTATAAAATATAATGAACTCAGATTAGAATAGGGACACTCACAGAAAATTTATGAGCATTCCATTTTGAGGTCTACTCTCACTTCCATTTTACAGCTGAAAAAACTGAGATTCAAGAAGCTTCTTCAGCATTTCATCATGAGATCAAACTTTCACTTAAGTCTCCCAATTCCACAACACTTTCAAATTCTATGCTCCTGTGATTCCTGCACGTGGCTACAAAAATAAGCGCTGCCTTCAAGACAGACAGGAGCTTTGCTGGGAAAATCTACTATAACTTATGCCATCCACAATAAACTTGGTCCTTGCTTCTCAGTCATATATCACAGGATTTCCTAGGGGTATTCTGTAAGAGGTCCTCCTTCATCTCCTCTCCTCTTCCCTCAACCCAATCTCACTTTTTACTCCTTCATTTTGCAAAGATAATTTTTTCTCTGTGAAGCAAATTTATAGTAAGAAATAGATATTTGCTAGTTTATGGCACACAGTTCCTAAAACTCTTGGAATTTCCTAAGTGATCAAAGCAATTAAGGTATATTTTGTTATTTATAACAATCTCTTTCAAACACACCTGAATTAATGTTATTGAAGTGACTGGAAAACCCCTAAGGATAGGGGCTGGTTGTCAGTGGAATCAAACCTTGTAATTATAAGATTGAAACTTTCAGCCCCACCTCCTATGCACTTGTGGAAAGGGGCAAGGGGTTGAAGTTAGAGTTCAAGGAACTATGGCCAATGATTCAATCAATCATGCTTAAGCCATGAAGCCTCCTGAGAAGCCCAAAGGAGGGCATTCAGAAATCTTCTAGGTTGGCAAATACATACAGATGCTGGTATGTGATAGGCCTAGAGGAAGCATGGAACTTCTGTTCCGCTTGTCCCATACCTTGTGCCACGCATTTCTTCCATCTGTGTCTTCCTGAGTTGTATTATTTTATAGTACACTGATAATTTCTTAAGTAAAATGTTTTCTTGAGTTCTCTGAACTGCTCTAGCAAATTAATTGAATCTAGGGAGAAGTTTGTGGAACTCTCCTTTTTTAATTCCTGGTGGATAAGAAGTATAGATAACATCCTGGACTTGAGATTGGCATCTGAAAGGGGGTCAAGAGAATCAGGTAAACAGTGTCAGAACTGATTGAATTGTTGTAGGACACCCAGCTGGTTTTGTAGAATTGCTTGGTGTGGAAAAAATCCCCACACACTTGGTGACCATAAGTGAAGTGTTCTGTGAATGGAGTATCGAAAGGAAGGGGGCACAGGGGTGTGTTTTTCCTCTTACATCCTAACTTATTAAGGCCATAAATTTTAAGAGGGAGAAGAAAATGCCATTCCATTCCCCTTCTTTCAATCTAATTTCCCCCCTTCTACACTCCCTAACTTCCATTGACTTGTGACTCTGTAAAGAAAGTGCTCTCTCCTCACCTTCTAGAATCCTTGCCTTTTATGTCACATAGGTTTTTCTTCATCTAGACTGAAATCACAGCAGAAGCAATAACAGCACACATTAAATGTGTGAGTGCATTGTAAGTTGTTGGAGTCTTCAAAATTTCATCCTATTTTTCTCCAAATTTGCAATCTAAGATAT